AGAAAATATTAAACAAGAAGTTATGTATGTTAAAAAGGTAAATATAAAAAACTTACTAAATGTGAGAAATAATAACTATCAGAGTAGACACGAAAACCAATAGGATAAACTCTAAGCAGAACATTGCTGAAGAAATTATTACTGACTTGGAAGATAGCACTGAATACTTAACTTACCACACAGCAAAGAGATAAGAGGTAAAACATACGCACAAGATTCCCCCAAGATCTAGTGAGGTCCTTTACACTTAAACCTCAGGCCTGATCTCTTGGGATGCCTTTCCAGAATAAAGAGAATACAGGCAATGGCAGATAAGGAATATGTGATAAGATATTAACTGAGAATTTCCTGCCATTGAAAAGAGATCAAAGTACTCAAATTGATAGTATACTTTGAATACCAAGTATAATAATATAATTAATAATAATAATACAACAACAAAATAATGACATGATAAATCTATTTCTAGATATGCAATAGAGACATTTTTAGGAAATCAAGCATGAAAGAAAAAATCTTAAAGCTAAAAAGAAATGTCAGTTTACCTACAAGTTAACAACTTGACATACAACAGACTTCTCATTATAAACAAGGAAGGCCATAGAAAATAGCTTCAGGGGCGCCTGGCTGGCTCAGTCAGAAAAGCATGAGACTCTTGATCTCAGGGTCATGAATTTCAGCCCCGTGTTGGGTGTAGAACTTACTAAAAAAATAGATAAACTTAAAAAAAAAAAAAGAAAATAGCTTCAAAGTGCTGAGGTAATAGCTTCAAAGCGCTGGGGAGAAAATAATTAGGAACTCAGAATTCTATACCAAGAAAAAGTGTAATTCAAAATGACAAAATGAAGACATTTTTAGAAATACAAAGACTGAAAGAAGTTGTGTGAAAGGTGAAATGAAATGGGGTCACTTATGTCCAAGGGTTTTAAAATGGAGCTGGAAGGTCATTAAGGTGGTGGGCCTTATGCACATCCTCATTGGGTGGAACTGTCAAATTCTGAACTGGGCCAAACAGCAAATACTCCAAGGACTCAGACCGAACACCTGCAGCTTCCTTTGCTACAGTAATGCACATTTGCTTAGTGATAGCCTTAGCAACCAATTATATTCAGCCCAAGATTAGTTTTCTGCCACCAACACCAATCAAAATTCTTTGTAAACAACATATACCAGCATCCCCTTTTGTCTTTAAAAGCCTTTTGCTTTTGTTCCCTGAGGGGACACGATTTGGGTTGCTGGCCAAATCTGTGCTCCCCAAACTGCAATTCTAAGGCACCAAATAAATGCTTTTACTTCAGCTCTGCCTCTTTTCTCAGGCAACAATTGCTACAAACAAAACCTGACAATACTGACTTTGGTTAGAAAAAAGACCCTAAATGAATAACACTTTTTTCTTCCTGCAAGTATGTTTCAACAATCTGTTTACAGGGAGGTTGGACAGGATTCAAAACTTTCCCTAGGCTTTTTACAACCCCCCTTTAACCCTTTCCTTCCCAGTGGTAAATACCCAACATTGTCCTGTCTGTTCTCTAGGAACCATGCTATATGGTTGGTTGGCTCAGTGGGCACAAGACCCCTGACTGGCGTACCCCAAAGTCAGGAGCAGGATCTAGATGTTTCTTCTTTCTTTAGGCAGTGTCTTCTCAGTTTACACCACTGCCTCTTTTCTCTGCTTGCTACTCTTTAAATGGTTTTCAGAGTTTTATCCATGCCCCTTTTCTTCATCAATATCACATCTTAACGTGCAAACCTTAGATAAACACATATTAAAATGTAGAGTCTTGCATGTAGCCCCAAATATAAAGAATCAGAATGAAGAAAAGTGACCCTTATAACTCTTGCCAAACAAGAAAGAACTGAGCCTGCAAAGCAAACCAAAAGTTTATTTGGGGTCTTTAGGACTTCAAATACGGGAGACACAGATTTAGGAGAAGCCTGAAATGTGCTCCAAGTAGGGAACAGAAAGACAAAGTTTATAGAGGCAAAAATAATTAGCACTGGTATATATATATGATAGGTTACTTTGCTAGTTGCTCGGTTATAGTAAAGAAAAACAATCCTCAAAAAAAAAAAAAAAAAAGAAAAACAAGCCTCATTCTGAGAATTCCAACAGGCTGTAGCAGAGTCTAAAGGCTCCATGTTTCATGCAGGTGTCAACGTGCATAAGACCAGCTTCCCCAGGGGCCTCCCAGCTCCATTCTAGGGCCCCTTGACATTCCTATTTCCTTTCAAATGTTTCTTTTTTTTTAAGATTTTATTTATTTACTAGAGAGAGAGAGAGCACACAAGCATGAGCAGGGGGAAGGGCAGAGGGAGGGGAGAAGAAGGCTGCCCACTGAGCAGGGAGCCCGACGTGGATGCAGGGCTCGAACCCAATCCAAGAAGGGGGGGTGGGAATCATAACCTGAGCCGAAGGCATCCTAATTTGAACCCATTTTCTTAGCCCTTCATTTGAGTTACTTTAAGTCATTCTGTTCCCACCTACATTTGTTCCCACATTTTCTATCACTCCCCAAATCACTTATCCTGAGCTCCAACCACCACTTACTTGTCTCTGGACATGCCATGTTCTGTCACATTTGTATGCTTTGGAACATGTTCCTCCACCCGGTCTCAGAGGTCATATTCCCCTTCTATACCTGGAAGACTCCAACTCCGTTAATATCCTCATCAAATGTTACATCTTCCCTGAGGCCTTTTCTCACTCCCTAGCCAGGTCCCCACCTCTGTGTTTTTATACCAAGGTCTCAATCACAACACCTTCCATATGTTCTGGAAACTACCTGCTCACACCTGTCTTCTCCATCAGTCAGGGGCGCACTTGCAGGAAAGGTCTGATCAGGGTTCATCTGTTTTTATATCAAGGGTGAGTAGCTTGGAGCAGTACTTAATACCTGTTTAATAAGTAAGGGCATAAACACATAAGTGAATTAATAGATATTTGATCAAGGTTTAAAGAATCTACAATCAAATTCTAAAGCAGCATATGTATATTTAAGAATGTGCAGTCTTAGCACACATGGAACTTTTAGATTCCCAGAAAAATCTTATCTTTCATTCTACAGGAAATTCACTTGCTAATGAGCAAATTGTGGTCCTCAAGTAAGAAACTCCAAGTAAAACCTCTTACCGCTTTTTCAAACTCCTTTTTCAATATGAAGATATAAACTTTAGCACACTATAGCGTGTTCTTTGTCCTCTAGAGATAAGGAAGAAGTCTGTGGATATTGTTAGACGGCTTTCTGGTTACTTGCCGTACTCCCCGTGTAACTGCTCTAGTCTCTGAATTAATTTGATGCCTTTTGGTCTTAGGGGCCATTGATATTCACAAGTGCTGGACTAAGAAATAGTGGAAAATATACAGTGCAACAGTTTCAAATTACTGGAGAATTTCAGATAGGAGAGCAATTGTGAAGGTTCAACATAAGAGGTTTAAGATTTTTTAAATATTATGTATTACCATAAACACCAAAATATAAAAACACCAATATAAACACCATATGTTCATGGCAAATATGATTTTACTTTCCTAAGGATTTGGGGAAGTTTTATAAAGGCTTTGTGAGAAATATACTCAGAGACTGACCAAACCCCTCCTCACACACACAGTACAGCAGAAGAAAGGACAGACAGATAATCTATGACTCTACTCAAAGAAAAATCTTTAGAGAGCCAGAGAAGAAGAAACGCTTTTGGAGATTCACAGAATTTTAGCTTTTGTCCTTTTTGGGGATGGCAAATCTGAGGTACATGGGCCTCCACTCTCCTCTACTTCAATACCTGCAGACAAAACTAAGTGATTGCATAGATGTGTCCCTACAATTCCACTTAACACCTTGGGAAGAAATTATAATCAACCTACAGTGGTTCCTAAAGGCCATTCCTACTCTAGTAGAGGGTTGCCAAATATTTTCTGTAAAGTACCTGAGAGTAAATCTTTAAAACTTTGTAGCCATATGGTTTCCGTCCATTGGAGCTTGGGGTTACAGCACGGAAACAACCATTGACAGGACACAAAGACATGACTGGGGCTATGCTTTCATAAAACTTTATTTATAGACAATAAAATTTGAATTTTTAAAAAAGATTTATTTATTTATTTATTAGTTTAGAGAGAGAGAGAGCATGCACGGAGTGGGGGAGCAGAGGGAGAGGAAGAGCGAGAATCACAAGCAGACTCCCCTCTGAGCACAGAGCCCAACGCGGGGCTTGATCCCAGGACCCTGAGATCATGACCTCAGCTGAAATCAAGAGTTGGATGCTTAACCAACTGAGTCACCCAGGCCACCCTGAAATTTGAATTTTATGCAATTTTCTTATGTTACTTAATATTCTTCTATTAATTATTTGAATCATTTAAAAATGTAAAAATCTTTATCTGTTAGTAAATATATAAAAATAGGCAGTAGACTAGATCTATATAGTTTGCCAACTCTTGTCCTACTATAGTTCTTTTGTTTTGCACATAAGAAAACAGGGCACAAAAACGGTAAGTGATGTCCTTAAAATCGTATGAATGAATAATTTGTGGTAAAGCCAGTCATTTCGTGCCAAATTCTCTTCAAGATGGTCCATATTGGCTATTTATTATTATATTTTTCCTGAATGATAAGTACCGAGCAAAATACTTTTCCTTTACTTTGAGAAAATGAATTTTCCCCAGGATCATTTTGAAATATATCTATATTATTTAAAGACTCAATATAGGAGTGGATGGACTACATATACTTACATGCATCGATTTTTAAGTTGAAATCATTTTTTTACTACAAACGTACCCCGCACCTTAAAAGTGAACCAATCCCAATAATTGCAACTAGTCCATTTTAAAAGACACACATAACAGAAATCAGGTGCAACATAGAGTTTAAAAAATAAAATAGAGAAGGCCTATTATAATTGAAACATTACTCATCAGAAATATTCCAAAAGATGAAAGAACAATCATGAAAATATGTTTAATTCTACTTGAGGCCAAAAAATATTTTGGAAAAAAGTATTTATTTATTCTTCAACATCAAAGGTGCACCCTTGATGGTAGAGGACACCCCCGTCCTTGTGAGTTTAGCATTTTCACGGATAATATTGCGCCGACGAACTGGCTTGCTCTGAAACCTCTCATTAGTAGTGTCAATTTTGGCTTTTACATTCATCGGTGGCACGGTAACTTGAGGTAATCCATTGATATCATACAACCAGTACATGTCCGGTGTCTGAAAACAAAGAGAGGAGAGATTTTACATGAAATATTCAGGGACTGAGAAAGCTATAGGAAAAAGTTTACCAAATTAATACGGTCTCTCTTCTCCATGCAAGGTATGGGAAATGTACAAAACTGAAAGTGTGCCCGTAATAAATAATTAACATGGGAAATAAATTCAAGAAAGCATTTAGCTTTATGAATTAAGAACCACTCACTAAAAAGTCCCTCAAAGTTAGAGGTCTGCCCTGAGGGTGAAATAAGCATCCATCTGATCTAAGGGGAAGCAATCTATTTTCTTTGCATGAAACTGTTGCCCAGCATGAACTATGTAACTAACCGAAACCATACTTTGCAAGAACTGATCCATGACAACTTAGGCATGGCTACAGAACCGACTGGTAAAATATGTTGAGCTTCTGTTTTTTAGATTATGAAAGTCTATAATTAATCGAACCATTTGAAATTCCTGAGAATTGTGTAAAATCATTAATGACAGTTATAATCTAAATCCAAGTTAGTACAACTTAGGGATTTATTTAAAAAATCCATCATTTTTTTCTGCATATATGCACAGGATGGCAATATTGAATTACAGTCTAGCATTTTCTGTATGTCTATGTTCATACTTAAATCCCACTGCTCTTACAGAATTTCCGGTGTTGTGTTTATCTGGGTCTTCTTCCCCACAAGAAGATTTGTACCATGTATGGTCAGAAAACCCATTTAGGATAAATCCACGCTAAGTGAATATTGCAATAACATCAGCCAGGGCTTAAAGGGTAATGTGATATCAATCGAAGAATGTTAAGTGCAGGACTTTCTTACACATCTGGAATGACCCTATTTTAATCAGAACTGGCCCTTCTATCCAGTGTTCATAGTAATTGTGTATTCTGAATCAAGGAGTCAAAAGCAGAACAAACCAAAGACTATACTATACCTAGGTTAAATAACATTTTACTTCACATAGGATGGTCAACTTGAAAAACAAAGCTACATTTTAGTGATTGTGCATATATCATTGTAAATTTTTACATTACAGGTGACCCACTTCATGAGTACATATGCATGAGGTACTTGAAGGGAACTGCTCCTATGCCCAACACTCAGTGGTGCTCGGGAGTGAGCTACATGAAGGAATGTACACTCCTATTTGGAATGTAGTAGGTACAAATGGGAACGACATGTAGGGATTTGTACCTTCACCTGACACATCTCCAAGACCCTTTGAAAATAATTACCTATAAGGACACTATTTTTAAAATCCTAAATGTTATTGTATGCATTTCAATTAAGATTCAAATAATTTTGCCATAAGTGATGCTGAGTGTATATGTGTGTATATATATATGTATATATATACATAAATATATATAATCCAAATAGAAAATAAATTTGTAAGAAGTCATTCATGTCCTTTATTCCAACACTCTATATGGTAATAAGAATATGTTTATTTTATAAAAATTAAATATTACAGTTCTCATTTCTAGAGTTAACTTTCTTCAAGTTGTAAATAAATACAGTGACTCATTGTGTTTTTGAAAATACTTTAAAGATATAGCTCTGTGTCTTCCACTCTGAATCTCCTTTTGAAAATATAAATTAAAAAGCTTATGTTAAAATAATATAAGAATAAATCAATACCTCCACGTCACTAGTGCCTCTGAGAATCACTGTTGGTTTTACAAAAGAATGTCAAATTGACAATTATACTCCTCAACTACTTATTTAAAGAAATTAAAAAAAAACAACTATTTTTTAAACAGATGAAATTTCCATATTTCAGTAATGTCTTTGTAGTATGAAAAGGTATCAGCCAAAGAACTCACGGAATGAATGCTCAAAGCTATGCTTTAAAGGACACATTCTTATGAATGGAAACAGCGCATTATGGGCTGTGCCGACCCACATCCCTCAGGTATTTCCATTTCATTGCCTGCCCCAGCTTCCAATTGCCAATATCTATACCTCTTGACTCAAGAGTTTTTCAGAAAACAAAACAAAACAAAAAACAACCCCCCCCAACTCTCTAGCCCCATCAGGTGTAAATATTCTGTAGTGTGTTCCACACTATTTTCCATAGAAATCCCATGGGATTAAATTCCAGATGCCCACTGTGGTAATTGCCTTGAAAAAGCACCCTTTATTGGTTTCCATTCCTTTTCTGTTTCATATCTTGGCTTTCCTGCATCTGTTTCTTGAGATCATGTAGGAAATATGCTACTTGGATTCGAATCCCTATTTCAGGTCTGCTTAAGAGAAAATACAAACCACGATTTATATATATAAATAAAATGCCATTTCTTACAGTTTCATGACAATGATTTATTCCTTTAAAAGCAATGCATTTACATGCATATTACTTACATCTGATTATGTCTCTAGTTATAACAGGTCCATAGATATTACTTTTGTACAAGCATTATATGTTTTATCTTGGATAATTCGGATAGCTTTCATATTTTTGTATAAACTATTTAAGATTTATCATGTCCACCATGGAAAGTTGAGTGGACTATTTATTCTCTTTGAATAACATTGCTTTTTGTAACAGTCTGATCAAGTTAACTTAAGTCTCTCAAAGCTAGTGCTATATGCCTTGTTTAATAATAGGAAAAGAGCAGTTTTTAATCATTCTAAATATGGTTTAATTGAAAGGGAACCCATGAAGCTTGCTAATGTAGTTGTTGAAGTTTCTGTAGGTTAATATTTAAAGATTTTTTAAAATTATTATTTATTTATTTGAGACAGAGAGAATGAGAGAGAGAG